GATTACACGCGTTTTAATTAAAATATAAGGTAAAACGCAGTAGTGCATAAAGCTAAATGACAGCATTATCTGTTGCAAAAGATTCTGAAAGTTATAGATTCGTCACAGAGGTAATCGACCCTTTCAGTCCTTATTTTACCGAAAACCTGTCGGTCAAACAACGGTAGTCAAAGACTTACAACATCGGTCTCCTGTACGTGAATTCAACTTTCGAATATTCAAGTCATTCTGAAGAAAAAGGGACGAGAACAGTGAAAATGGTCTGAGCGCCGTCTACGCGGCGATAAGCTAGTTTACTTTGGTCATGAAGAATGCCAGATCGAACAGAGTCTTTTCGTGAACCGTATATAAGATAAACCGCAAGGCAAAATTTCTTTCATTCGTCAGCTTTAGAACTACGTTTACAACTGGAATATGCATTCTTATTCAAGTCAGACCGTTTAAACAAAATTTACTGAATCATGTTTCATAAAATTAATATCTCGTTTTCGTAGCGGACAACAAGCAATTACCTATTGCATGCTGGTTAAAGGTACGGTGAGGTGTATTCGCCTCAGCTACTAGGGTAGCAGCGGAGACATGTCTCGAACTCTAAAACGGCCAGGTAACGACGCAGTAGTTAACCATGTCGATGAAGCACCTTGTGCATTTAAAACAAATGTCTTAAATTAAACATTGTAAGATTAAAATTAGGACGCAATGACTGAAAAAGGGAAGATTCTTCGCATCTGTTCCGCATGAGATAATGATGTACGTAATTAATTGCGGTGTCGCTTGTTATCTGAAAAGATGACGTTCATTTGTTGCGTTAGACTGAATTAACAGAGTTGAAATTCCTTTCATACACGAGGCGCTAGACCAAATCTTATCAAAAACAAACTGACAGGATATAATTCATTAATTAAATGAAAGTATAAAAAAATGCACGAAATTCACTTACATGATGAATATATTTTAAGCATCCCATAAGCATGAATTTGTGGCTGAGTTTTTCTGCGTACAATCTGTTCGTGATCACCGACGGGGTAGCAGACTGATGATCTAAAACAAATGGCTCGAAGAAAGACCGACTGTGGGGTAAGAAAAATGTCAACTGATGAACTGAGCGCTGCCCCATAAAAACGGAACAAATTGATAGTCGTCCAGACTCCAAACGCCATGACTACCAGCCGGCTCGATACGATATGTCTGCTGAAGCTTACGGCACAAATACAAATATCTAAACAACAGCCGCAATCATAAAGATATATGTACATGCTGCTAAGAAACTAGCCGAGATAAAATAGCACCTTGACAGAATAAAGAATCAAATTACAAGCAAACAATTCTAATTTTGGCTAACTCAGAGTATTTGCTTGATCACTATCGGCAA